TTAGATGTGTCAAAAGTCCCAAAAATAATATTTTTACATGTATTTATACCTAGTAAGGTCGGGCCCGGACGAAACCACCTTCTCATACGCGAAATAGAGAAAATACCTTGTAAAAATACACAGGCGTGCCACATAGGATGACGCGCCACGCGGGGTACTTGTGGAGTTTATCAAGGAGCTTACAAAATTGAAAAGCATCAGAATTGGACAGTCGTGGTGGCTCACGCACCGCGGTTGTGGAAAATTCTCTGAGTCCAGCTTTTTCTTGACTTTTTGATATTCGGGTGTGTTTTTCGACCCCCTAATACGATCCCGACTTAATCCTTGAGCTTTTACTCTGACTTCAAATCTCCAAATCACTCGAATTCAACCCATAACATCTACACAGCTCGGAATCACTCTTACAAGGCATAAAACACACAATTAGTGCAAAACAGTAGCGATTAAAGCTCAAACTCAATTAAAGTACAATAAGCAACTAAAACATGAGATTATAGCCTACCATCACAACCCCATCCAAAAAACAATAAGCCAATAAGGCTTGTTGCGCCATGCAACTCGATCAAATAATAGTGACCAGCTCTCCCAGAGCTCACATCAACTAGAAAACCATCGGTTTCTCATAATCGGCGTGTACACCATCAAGAGAGAAACATGAAAGGGTGACCCTAGGGGGATGGATCCTCATCCATACGCAAGCACCGCCAATTCAACGTGCTACTATCATGGTGGTCACAAGCTCAATATCATAATCCACCCGACGTGGTCACAGGCTTAATGTGATGGATCCGCCCGACGTGGTCACATGTTATATCACAATTCGCTCGATATGGTCACAGGTATATTAACACAATCCTCCCGGCATAGTCACAGTAATATCAACACAATCCACTAGACGTGATCACATGCATATCAACACAATCCGCACATTGTGGTCACAGGTATAACAATACAATCTGCCCGGTATGGTTACAAGCATAACAACATAATTCGCCCGGCATGGTCACATGCATCCAATTCAAATCATATCATATAGAAGCAAGTATACAAGAACACATGTATATGATGAATAATTATCAGATTTCACGCTTCTGAACTAGTATAATAATATGCTAAAGTGTAGGCATGCACAAAGTGTGCTATCATAGCTCAAATTGGCAATTTTATCACACAAATAGAAATTACCAAGTTTATTTAGGGAATTAGTCTCTTTGTTATCCTAAACATAGCTCAAATAGTTCACAACAATGATATAAATATGAGAAACATATTAGCATAAAGCTTAACAGTCAACTCTAGGCATATCATAGTCTAAGCACTACCCCGAGCATGGTTTAATACCTCGGTGCTCACACATGGGCTCAACCCCACACATATGCGCACCCATAGAGCGTAGATATCACAATTAATTAAGGCAACTAGTGCCCCAATCAAGTTTTGATAAGATACTTACCTCAAACAAGCCAAAACAAACACCGAGCAAGCCAAACAATACTCTAGAAATGCTATTCCACATAAGTCAACCTCCAAACGGCTCGAAACTAGTAAAATCAACTAAAAATCATCAAATAATGCCAAAGGAAACAAACCCAAACGATAAAGGCCGAATTTTTAATCAAAAGCTCAAAGTCAACCAAAAAGTCAACCCCGAGCTCGCACCTTAGAACTTGACAAAACTCATAAAATCCGACAACACATTCAATTGCGAGTCCAACCATTCTAATTTCACTAAAATCCAACTCTGAATCGATGTTCAAATTTAATTATTCATTTAAGAAAATTTAGACAAAAACTCCCAATTTCTCCTCCTCAAATCCTTGATATAGGTGTAATAATCCATGGAAAAATAAAAATATAATCAAAATAAAGATAAAATTACTTAACCTGAAGATTTGAGTGTTTAGCTCCTCAAATTGCCTTACTTGTGCTCCAAGAACTCAAAAAATGGAGAAAATGAACTTAAGCTCTCGAAATTGGAAGTTTTAATGCACTGCTAGTGGTCCTTTTTCGTGATCATGGTCTCCAACCTTGCGATCGTGATTCAAAAATATTCCTCAGTTTTTACCCTTCGCGATCGCGGCCATATCCCCGTGATCGCGATGAACAAATTCCAACAAGCTTGCCCAACTCTTCCAGATAGCCTCTAGTATAATGGCCATAATGTTTTATATAAAACTCCAAATGACAAATGGTTTGACTTTTTGAATACTAGACATAAAGTGCTACAAATTTTATTTTTGGAGCATCTCCAAATTTCTTATAGATTGCAAGATATAAGCTTACAAAGTCAGCTCAGTGACATCAGAATTTCTTCTTCGCGAACGCAATTCAAAGGTCAAATTATTTCCATTTTACTCTTCACGATCGCGACCAATGCTCTGCAACCGCGATGTACACCCCTGTAGCCAAAAACCAGCAACTAGAAAAGGGCCTAGAAATGATCCGCAACTCCCCTGAAGCTCACCCGAGCCCCTAGGGACCCCGTCCGAACATACCAACAAGTCCCAAAATATATTACGGACCTACTCGAGGCCTCAAATCACACATAATAACATAAAAACCATGAATCATCGATCAAGATCAATCTCTTAAGTTCATAAACTTCAGACATCGAATCAAGTGTCCGATTCAAGCCTAACCAATCCGGAATGAATCCAAATTTTGCATACAAGTTCCAAATGATATATTGAACCTATTCCAACTCCCGGAATAGCAATCTGAACCCGATAACATCAAATTCAACTCTCGGTCAAAGCTATGAACTTTCTAAAGCTTTAAATTACCATCTTTCGCCAAATAGTGCTGAAACCTTCTAAGAACATCCAAATGCAAATCCAGCTCTACGCCTAAGTCCAAAATCACCGTATGGACTTAACAGAACCATCAAAACTCCGATATGGGCTCAAATACGCAAAAGTCAGACTTGGCAAACTCTTCTAATTTAAAGCTTCTAACATGAGATTCATTCTTCAAAATAAATTCCGAATCACCTGAAAACCAATACTAACAATTCACATAAGTAATAATACATCATATGAAGCTACTCAAGACTTCAAATAGCAGAACATAATGTAAATTCTCAAAATGACTGATTGGGTTATTGCAACTTTATACATACAAAAGATAAATCATGAGCTGATAAATAAAATACATTCAACATTTACTCAGTAAATATAATAGCTAAATGAAAATACATACAGAAGGACATGCTTACTACTTTACTATAAATAAAGATATATATGAATACAGTTAGTACAAAATGGACATTTTTATTAACATGAATTAATTAATACAATATATACAATTCATGGAAGGAAAAAAATGAGTACAATACATGAATACAACTGATACAGTACATGAATACAAAACATGAATACTTCAGTACAACTGATACAATACATAAATTAGGGCATTATGAATACATGAATACAAATGTGGCATTACGAATACAGCTGATACAATATTTACTTTTTCAATCACTGACATACAGAAGCATGATTATCATAGCTCATTACACTACATATATGAATAAAACTAAAAAAAATGATATAACCTCAGAAGTCTCCTCGGCACATATATTAGGTTGTATTTGAATACCAAAATGGTCACCCATGTTGTCCTCGGGTGACCTTTGAATGCAACCATCATGTCTTCCAGCAGGTGCTTCACCACCAGAACCCTTTAAGTAAACAAAATAAATAAAAATTATATGTAGTTGTATTTTAATTCTATTGATTCTTTTATATACTTTTTCTGCATTTTGATTAGATTTAGTATCTTCAAAAAGCTTTTCGAATTTTTCATTCATCAATGTCCGTAGAGACGTGAACTTGCCCTCGACCTAATATTTAAACCACCAATTACAAATTTGTTAGCAAATAGAAGAAATTGCAGACATATACTATAAAGGTGAATATGTAATAATAATACTTACAAACTTCTTGAATGAGTTTAGATCCTCTCTCAAGACAGACAAATCATCAGATTTGATATTAATTGGTACGTCGTTGCGGTGAGTGGTGTCATTTTTTCCCACCTGTTGTAATGCCATTGGCGAAATTGGCTTCTTAGTATGAACTACATGTTCCTTGATTCCATTCTTAGCAGGAGGAGGATTCTTGGCATGAGGATTTGCAACAACATTTGGTATTGGACTCTTTGCAGGTGGAGGATCAATTAGCTACTGTTTGCGTTTCTTATGAGGTAGTGATGATGATAGGACCAGTGTTTGTATCATGTTTCTTTCTTTGGCTGAAGAGGGGGTGTTGGACTAAATTCATCAGAATCCTCCTTATTGTGGTTTGTATGAAGAGGAGTTTGCTTTACAACAGCGTCATCCGGAGGCACATAAATAACTGTAAGCTTCCTAGCAGTCGGTTGAATATTTTTGTATTTTATCTGAAAACACTAATACATTCAATGCTAAGATGTATGGAAAATAGACAATAATCATGAATGTATTAGTCAAAATGTAAAACTATATGTATGTGTATATGAAACTGTATTATGTATTTTGGTGTATTTCTTTCATTATTGATCATCTTACTGTCTTATTATTTTTATTCTGCTTTTATATGGCTTTTTGGTACTGTCTCATCTTGTTTATATTTTCATTAATATGGTGCTTATACTTTCCTGAGTCAAGGGTCTATTGGAAATAGCCTCTCTATCGTCACAAGGTAGGGGTAAGGTCTGTGCACACACTACCCTCCCCAAACCCCACAGTATGAGATATTACTAGGTATGTCATTGTTGTTATTGTTGTATATAATCATGTCTATATAACTGGAAAATAGAAAATAATCATGTATGTATGAGTCAAAATGTAAAGTTATATGTAACTAGAATTGAAACTGTATTATGTATGTTGCTATATTTATGTATATATGTAGTCATGTATATAACTGTATATTGTATTCAAATGTATTTATAATGATGTATAACAATGTATTTAATTAAATTAACATATGCTGTTTGTAATATCAGTCAAGTCAAAAAGAACAAATTACCAGGTTTTCCTCGTCGTTGAACATGCCGTTTATCAAATAAGCAAAAAGAGACCGGTTGTTAGTGGACTTTCAATTGAGTATTCTGGGAATATGGTTATTAATTCGGATTAAGATTTTGGGGTCAACTTTTGAACAATACTAGTAGAACCATACTTACATAGCAAGAGGCATGCCAAAAATCATGTAATACTTCTTCTGGGAATCTATCTTCCGGCTAATAGATCTAACAAGGGCAGTGAATGCCTCCTTACCCAATGGGTAATCACAATATCTCACTCTCTCGACCAAGTCAAAATGTTGCCTTGGAATGGTTGTGCAATTCTTTTCATTGGAGAATATGAATGTATGTATGAAATTCAACAGTACTATTTTCACAGCATCATCATCGTTATCAAAGTCCCAATTCTTGTCAATAAAGCAATTAAAGCAGACTTCTTCACATTTTTTTCTCCGTCAAAGCATGTCTCTACTAGCCTATTAGGCTTCTTTGTATTAAACATAAAATCTTCTCCATCACCAACACAATTTAGTCTGATAATTACCGCAAACTCCCTGAGTGAAAAACACAATGTTGTACCATTTACATGTATGATAAATGCGTCAAGAGAACATTTTCCAACTCTCACACCATGAAGCACCTGAACAATTGTACTTAGACCTCACAATGCTTTATACCGAGGAATATACCAAAACATGTTTGACCAAAGAGTTCATATTGTTGTGCACTAAGCTTTTCTTTGAGGTAAGAAATTATGTCAGTGTTAGTGTAGGAACATATTTGCGGTGATGAAGTAGGAGGTTGTTTAACAAAGAATTTTATTTCCTGCATATAAACACCACAAAAGTAAATACATGTTTGAAATGTAGATAAATACAACAAGGTGGTTACAGTACTTTCAGTGTATTCAAAATAGGTGGTTTCTGACTTCACATACAGATAAATATTTTGAATACATTATTTTCATAGTTTTTGAAAATACATTAAAGATAAGAAACAAGCCTGAATCATGAAAATATTGATACAGTATTGTTAGTGTATTCAAAATAGTTATTTTCCAAATACAAATACATATAAAAGATAACTACCCAGATATCGCCAAATGTATAATGTATAAAAAGAATTAAAAAATTGAGTTTCTGTATATCTAAAAAAGACAGATTATGAAATACACAATATACATGTATGGGAAAAAAAAAAATATCACCTTCTCTTTCCGTGTTTTCGAGCTACTTCCTTTAGCGACCTCTTTTCCCTTGCTGCCGGATGCAATAGTGCTAATTTTTCGTCTATTTCCACGTTTATGTTGTGTATCGAAACATTAGAAACATTTCAACTTGTTTCATAGGGTCATTGGGTAGTTTGGTTCGCCTCTCGGCTTCAATAGTTGCTACAGAACCTACAAATACAGCATCCTCTTGAGTGATACGCAAATATGGCCCATCAAAATTGAGGACTTTAGTGGGTATACCTCGTGTAACCCTCTTGGGAGTGCTTAAATCAGCCATTAATGTCCAAACTTGAAGTTTCTTGTGACAACCCTAATAATGGTGGAAATTAAAAGGAAAGTAAACAGAAAAAGAAGAATGACATTGAAATAAGAAACAACTACCCAAAACTTTATCAATTTGTGAGGAACCACGATTATTAGGCGCAAAATCGTGTTGGATTCATGGAGACAAATTCGCTGTTGAATTTGATTAGAGAATCTCTCGAGAGAGGGGGAGAGAGAGAGAGTGTGTGTGTGTGCGCTAACTAAAGGAGGAAGAAAAAAAAACGTTACTGGCGTATTTCACGTCTTAACAATAGTATACATAAAAAATGTGCATTTTACTACAAAAATATAAAAGATAGCTATAAGCAATAATAATTTTAAAGTGTTTTGATTTATAATAAATAAGGTGCAATAGTTAGCTACAGGACCTAAAATTTCCTATTCAAATACCACAAGAATGGTGTGTTACAAGCCAAAATCTTAGGAGACGATAAACTTTGACTTTTATACCTAAATTGATTTTTGAAGATAAGAGGAATTTGAGCCCCTAACAAGATTTTCATATGCAATAAAGGGTAAATTGAAGCTCAACTCAATGTGCAAGGTGTCAACTATTACACTTCACCAATTGTGGGACGAGGAGGGTTAATTTGTATGACATGAAATCACTTTTTTTAATAGTAAAAGTACTTAACATTCTTTTTTTCTCTAAAAGGAATTATAATCTTCCATTATTTAACTCACATCTGACATCATTGATCGGCAGGTGTGCGCTTGACATGAAACCTTTCTCTCTTCTCATTTTCGCGTTAATTCTATAGTTTCAAGTTATGGTAAGTCCGTATAACATTATACAATGCATTCAAATTAAAAAGAAACTAAAAGATAAAATAAATAAAAGGCGAGAAGAAAAAGATTCTATAATACAAAAATGCGAAAGGCAACAAGATAAAAAGACCAAAAAAAATATTACTGTATAAAATATGTGAGTCCTCTTTGTATAAGGACTTGTTTGATCCATTAAAAAAATATAACTTACTAAAGCCTTGAGAGAAACTAGAAAATAATGCTCACCAAGATCAATCATTCACCAAGAAATAAAGGCGAAGCTAGACTAGAACATTTTCCTCGGTTTCGTTGTCCCTTGAGTAGGAATACTCTGTTCATTTCTGAAGAAATTCGTTGGATCCACTGCTGATTTCACTTTCACCAATCTATCAAAATTGTTCTTGAAATACATGGTCCCATATACCCTTCCTTCTTCCAAACTATGTGGTCCTTGATCATTTGTACCAATATCAAGATCCCTGTAATTCAAATAGGCTTGTCTTGGGTTCTTTGAAACAAATGGGGTCATAAAACTGTATAAATCTCCTATCTGTGTAAGGTACTCTTTTTCTGCAGCTGCTCCTTCTTCGTTCCAATTCACTGAGTACTGAATCTTGAATAGAATCCCTGCTCTGTGTGGAAATGGTGTTTCGCCCTCGGCAATTTCAGCCATTCTCCCTCCGTAAGGATTGAAAACTATTCCTGCTTTGCCCAAAGAAATCATCTTTTGGAAAATTGACTCCAACCCATCTCTGGGAATTGGTTCTTGCACGTAATCCGATTTTCTTTTCAAGAAATTCAATGGATCCCCTGTTCTGTTCAACAAGGCAATTGGTTTTGTTGTGTTGTCGAAATTTGCCCATTGAAGCACCGAATCAATCCAGCTCATTTCGAAACAATCTTGTTTTGTTAATCCTAAAGCTGGGAGTTCGTTGCTTACGAGTGATATTAATCTACTAGAATCACCAAGGAATAACGCTATGAACGTTACTCGTATCGACTTTTGTTGAGCCTTCTTCTTCCCCTTCACTTTCTTCTCTTTGTTTTTCACAGTGATGGGTTGCACAAGCAGTCTGATGAAAAGATCATTGTCAATTTTGTTAACAACATTCTGCCATTGGAGAACAGCGTCGGTAGCATTTTGGTCTAAAAACCTTTCAACTCTGAAATAAGTCACAGTTTGTGGGACTTGAACGAGTTGAATTTGAAAGGCTAAAATGACACCAAAACTAGCACCCCCACCTCCTTTAATTGCCCAAAAAAGATCTTCGCCCATAGCTTTCCTGTCCCAAATTCTACCATTAACATCCACCAGTCGAGCATCCAATACATTATCTACACTTAGACCAAATTTCCTCAGCATATTCCCATAACCACCACCACTAAGATGCCCACCAACACCAACAGTAGGACAAACACCCGCAGGAAAACCAAGAACGTTACTTTTTGTCCAAATGTTATAGTAAAGTTCCCCTAATGTAGCACCAGCTTGAACCCAAGCAGTATTATCATTAACATTTATGGAAATTGAGCGTAGATTGAACATATCAAGCATAATAAAAGGGACATCAGAAATATACGAAATTCCCTCATAATCATGTCCACCACTACGGATTTTTAACTGTAAATTAGTCTCTTTGGTGCAAAGAACAGCGCTGGAAACATGGGATTCTTCAGTAGGGGTAACGATGATAACCGGTTTGGAAGTTGTGGAGGAATTAAAAAACCGGCGGTTTCTGACATAGGCTTGTAAAATGGGGTTAAAGGAGGCATTGTTTGGGGAATAGACGATTTTGGAGATTTCTGATTGGGGAATTGATTTCGTTGTTAAGCAATTGACAAACGAGTCATAGACTGAATCTGAGGCTCCAAGGGATAAGGAACTGAATTTTAAAAGGAGGAGAAAATGAAAAAGCAAAAGAAGACAAGAACAAGACATGGTTGATGATTGAGAAGATTTTTTCATTAGGTTTTGGTTGTTTTTGGGTTGTAGGCCTAAAGAGCATTGGTTTTATAAGGGTTTATATAGCGATGAAATGATAGATGAAAATAAATAATCCTAAAAGGGAATCATTTTTTGAAGTATCTATTCACACAATTGGATTGCGCCTTCTTTGCATGAAGAAATTATTAGATTTCCAATATATTGTAATTTTGTTTGGATTTGAAATCTTTTTAATTGTGCGCGACTCTTTCATTTCTCACTGTTTGTTTATTTCTAACTCGGTATTCTACTACTTATATAGTGGTATGACTAAATTTGAACTTGTGCGGTTAGCTAAGGAAATATTTTTTGCCTCCTGTTACGCTCTTGATTTTTCTTCTCGCTTGAGAAATACGATTTGAAACCACAAAAATCTCACATTAAAAGGTAAAACTGGCTCTATAAAAAACACAATGAATAGTTGTATACAAATAAGGTATACTTGCGATAAAAAAGAATGAAATCAGGAAAGATCTTTTTTAGTTCTCCTACCTTATTCTTGAAATCTCTTCTTACCTTCAGCAAATATTCTTATTCGTTTATTTAAACAATTCCTAAAAAAGATATTTAAACCAATAAGAACATTATGCCCCTCCTCTAATAACTGACTCCATCCTATCCTTTAGTTACGGATTTGAAGGAATTAATGAATAATAAAATATATGAGCAAACATTTACTAGCAAATTAAAATTTAATGTAAATATTGTTATCTAATGTCATTCTTTCAAAAAGAAAGTTATAGAAAAGCTTTTTAAGAATATCACGATTATTGCATTTTCGTAATCATCTACAACTATTTCGTACATCTTAAATAAATGCACTTTGTCAAATTCTCCGTAAAACAATAAATGTTGTCATGTTAGCTGCCAAAACCAAATAAATTTAATTCGTCAAGATTTTGGAATATAAAGTTTCTTACAAACGTTGGGACTAGGGCATATACTTTTCCTCAAGTAGTGGTAACCACGGAAAAGGCATTTGTTCAGATAAAAAGAATTCAGATCTTTGATAATTTTTTACCTTCTTCTCTATCTTTAGTTAGCCTTAAATTAACGTAACCTTAACTCCAAAAAGACTAAAAGTTCTCAAGTTTAGCAATAGGATTAATATGCTCCGGAGTATATTTCCGGATGAAAATGGACCTATGCCAAACTTAAGGGACCATTTGATTTAAAAACTAAAAAAAGGAACTAATTGTTATTTTTCTCAAAATGTTTTCTCTTTTGTATTATTGCATGGCCCTTTTTCTCTCATAAAAGTACATAGTTGAAAGGAAGGAAGACTTTACCCTTATAGTGAAACTTTTTTATGCAAATCTAGATTAAAAGAAGATAAGTGAATTTTAGTACAACGTGTGCTTGGAAAAAGAAGAAGAGAGACACAACAGAGAGTGAGAAAGAGAGTTCAGATTTTTTTTCCCTCTCATGTCGGCAGGGTCAAAGAAATTACGTTAATTGCAAATGTTAAAATATCAAAAACTGCAAAGAAATTAAAAAAAAAAATGAGTAGTGGGTAGGTGGGCAAAAAACTGAAATTTAAATTTTGTGGATTTTTTTTTCTCGTATTAAGGATTGGATTTCGAATATAATTTTTAAATTTTTGGATTTCAAATAGAATGTTGGATTTGGTACTTCGGATTTTTAGATATCCGAAAAATCAAATTTTTTATATTTTATATTTAGTCTATTATCCATATGCAAATAGTAATAAATCTAATATCTTAGCAGTTAGACATTATCTTATTGCATTATTTTTATGATGATTTCATTACTTGAATACTTTATTTGAATGATTGCAGTAATAAAGAATTTTTTAGGCAATTGAACATGAATATATTTTTTTTTCAACTTATAGGCTCAAAATTAAAAATCTAAAATATCCAAAACAATTACTCCGAATCGAACTTAAAAAATCCGGTCCAATTGAGCTTATTTGGATTGAATTTGAATTATCACTTTTTCAATCTGAAAATCAAAAATCAAACCGAAATTTTCATATCCAATCCGTATTACCCGGACGCCCAATCTTTTTGAGAGGCAGACCTAGAGTATTCAATATAAATTTGAATAATTTTGTACTATTTGCTTAAATTATATATTTGTATTAAATTTTTTATTAAACATATATAAAAATTTAATTGTGAAATGAATGAACTAAGACAAATTATGAGTATGATGACTATTGAATTCAGCACACATTAACTTTAAATTTTAGTTTCACATTTATGCGCTGTAGAGTGACTGAGTAAACTAAAATTGCACTAGTCAACATTTGAACATAAAAAAGTATTTGAATTATGGGACCAGAAGGAAAAAAGAAAACTTGAACACGTCCTGTCCCGAACCGAAATAATTTGTACGTCAACGAAAGGTCAACTACAGCGTAGATTCTGGACGGCAACTTTCTTTTCTCTGTCTAGGAGGGTGTTCGGATTTGCTTATAAAAAGTATTCCCTCTATTTCAATTGATGTGAACTCATTTGACTGAGCATGAATTTTAAGAAAAGAGAGAAGACTTTTAAATTTGTGGTGTAAAGTGAAGCATATATATTTTGTGTGGTTATAAATCATTGCATAAAGGTAAATTATTTCTAAATAGGAAAAAATGTCATTCTTTTTGGCACGAACTAAAAATGAAATAGGTTCACATCAATTGAAACAGATGGAGTAATTTTTAAGCTAAAAATCAAAAGTCATAAGTTGGTAATACCCAATTTTAGCTTATTTTTGTACTTTTTATGCCTAAAAGTAAGTCTTAAGCACTTTTTATCATTGACAAACACCATACAAACTATTCCTTCCGGTCCACAATAAAAGACCAATTTGCTTTGGGCACATCCATTAAGAAAATACTAAATTCTAGACAAAAATAGTTAGTGTAACTAAACCATCCTACATTAAATGTTGCACCATAATTATAGTAGCACTTACTTCTCTTCTCAAATGTGAGTAGTAAATGACTTTTTAGGGATACGTACATAAAGGTAATTTTGAAAAAATAAATTGATTTTTTTTATTATATAAATGGACACTTATTTTGGACCAAAATAAGATAACAAATTGATCACTTATTATAGATCAGAGTAAATAAAAAATTACTTAAAAGCCAATAAACACTTAAAATAAGCCAATTCAAACCCCATCTGAATCTTTTTCTAATACGTGTTGAAATTATTGTCCAAGTTTGAATATATATTCTTTGAAAAAGGAAGCAATGTATTTAATTATTTATTTATGTACTAATATGACTCACTCATTTGAAGATAATCTAATAATTTAAGAAAGATTACTCGTGTCATTTCTTAAACTGAATTAACTGTCCTTTTATACCATTCAGACTCGGCTCAAATGTTGTAATAAGGCTTGTGCCTTAGACCTTAAATCTGAGAGACTTTAGTTTTTAAAAATAATAGATTTATAGGTATTTTTTGTAAAAATATTTAGTACTTTTAGTACAACAATGGACTTTTTCATATAAAATAAAAGAAAACTCTCTAAATTATAAATAAAGTAACTATTTGACTTACTTGAAAATTGGTAGTATAAATAAACTTCCCAACCTCTTAATTAGAGTTGATTTGACAAGTGAGTTATTAAACTTTTTGCTTCTTCGTTAGACAATGTGTAAGAATTTACCATCTCTTCCTTGATTTGTCCAAGTCAATATTTCTTTTACGCAATCTCTTCATATTTCAAATTATATAATTTTCTTTTTGACTTACTGACATTCTTTCTTCAATATTTCTGTCATGACCCAAATCTCATCAAAGACTGTGATGTCGCCTAACAACATAATTTAATTATCAAACCATTAACTAATTTATAATATAAAGACAAAGCAAGATATGACATAACTCAAATATCAAATGTGCATAAATCTCAAACAGAGTCTACACATGACCAAACTTGTAACACCCCGTATATTCAAACTAGGTATAAATATATTAAATGAGTATTAATTTAATATTTTAGACATATAAAGTCCTAGCGGGATAAGTATGGGTGAAAATTTTTGTTTTAGAATTAAGATGAAGAGTGAGGTGCATAAGATTCGACAAAATCGACTAAGTTTACGAAAGATCTGTCTTTCAGCAGGATTTAGTGAAATTTTAAAAGAAATTTGGGGGGCGCACTTGGGGGGCCATTTTAAAGCCCTACTTCGTCCCCACACCCCCAAAACACAAAAACTTTCTCTAGAAAGGGGAGCTCTCAAAAACGTAACTCCTTAAGGTTCCTTCCACCATCCAAGGTAAGTTATAATGGTGATTCTATAATTTCAATTTCTCAACATCTTATTAACCTGGGTAAATCCTCTATATCATTAGATATTCGATTGGGACATCATTGTTGAGAGAATGAACCCTAGAACTCGAATTCAAGGGGATTGAACTTTAAAAAGGTAATGTTTTCACTCTCTAATTGATTCTAGCGTTGGATTAATAATTATAGACTCTAGCTCATGAAATATGAGTTGATGGGTTTGATAGAAAAGCATGAACAGATTATAGGTTTGGGTTGTTGATTGTTGTGTATTGGTTAAGGGTGTTGTTTACCTTATGGGTGATGAAGAATGATGTTGATTATAACCATTTGAGACTTTAGAATTTATCTAGAAGCAAGAGAATGAGTTATTGGGTGTAGAAACACCATTAATAAGGACTATGAAGCTTTATTCTCACCAAGTATTTGATAAAATGCTTAAGTGACCAAAACATGAGTATCATAGCTAATATGGAATTCCTTTGACTTAGAATTGCTATAGATTAAAGTTGAAAGGATTGGCAAACGTTGTATTACGCTCAAGAGCAGGAAGTTAAGGTATGTGAGGCTAACTCTCTATGTTTGGGAATGTTAATGATTCTCCCTACACTATATTTCTTTTACGACGTTACAAAGTGCCTAGGAAATATAGTTTAGCCTAATTCCTTGAATAGTTATAGAAATTCTAATCTCTAGCTTCATAACTCGTTCATGACTTTCATTCTGAACGTTGTGAGCTTAGTGTTTATTCAATATAAACTTGGGTTTGATGCCCCGGAGTCTTAGTATATATTACTCAGTATGCCATAAACAATTGAAGTTTCAGTGTTCATAATCAGTTCAAGAATGCATGTCTCAGTCTAGTCCT